TCCTCCAACCAGGTCTCTGTCACGCATGCCAGGTCAAATCCTCCATCCACAATCAGGTCGTGGATGGCAGTGGTTTTATTCATAATTGACCTGGCATTACACAGCAACACCTTAAGGTCATGTGGGTTTCCCCTGTTGATTCCAGTATGCATCCGGTCAAGGCCAGACCCGGAGGCAGGGATAGTCCTCAAACAACGACTAAACCTGCCTCCTCGGTAATGACATGGTCTGGTCTTAGCGTAACTCCGCCTCCTGCCCATGATCACCAAGATCGGATGTCCCAGTGCTTCCCCCCCTGTGGAACTTGTCCCAGCCATCGTGTTGGCTGTGGCCCCACTCCCAGGCAGCCCTGATCCCGCCCCTTAAAAACAAAACACAAACTATACAGAACCAATAAAACAACAAAAAACAAAAACAGAACAATTATACTAAAATTAATCCCCAACCAAATATCCATCCCTCCCACCCACCCCCAACAAAGGAAAAAAGGGAAAAAAGAAATACAAATTTAAATTGCCACCGACTGCTTGAGGACATTTTAAAACACATTAACCACTTCGAACAGGGAAGCAATTGCAGAACACTTCCCAACTTCCCCAGAAGTTTGTTCCAAATAAGGGCCTGGGCCACGCCCCCTGGGCCAATTGGAAAAGGCCTTGGAAGGGAGCAGGCCCTGCAGTTCTCCCCACAGCCGATGGTCAAGGGTATCCCCAAAATTTTCTCCTCTAATATTAGGGATGGTCGAATCTGTCAATTTCAGTTTCTTTCATCTTCTCAGTTTCCCAATCTTCAGTTCCAGTTCTCTACGTTTCCACATCATTTTTGTTAAAGGTCTCATAAAAATTCATCAGCATTTCAGTGTGAATTTATCTTAATATACAATTTTACCTACTATGCACATTTTCGCAAAGCAATTTCTCCTAAAATAATGCATTTTTGTACATGTTATATTCACAAAAATATGTGCAACTTTAGGACCACTTGGATGCATCATTGAACTGAATTGCAAAATTCAAAGAAGTGCTAATTTCCAAAAATGGCTATCTTTGAATTCTCAAGTTGTTTCAGATTGCTCTCCCTTCCCTTCGTCATATAATCCTGTTTATCACTGCTGAAGCCCTACTCTGGGTGCCTCTGCCTTAGATGTTAGCTCATTGCCAGCCCAAATGACGTGTCCATCCTCCCCGCCTTGCCTCCCTTTTGAGTAGGACCAACATTTATTTCAAAAAAAGTCTTAGCGCACTCTTCAGATATCAGTTCCTGCATTCATCTATCCCACACTCATGGTGCTAACTGAATCGCGTCACTTCACCTTGCTATATAACAGGGCCTGTGCTGGATTAGGCAGGAGAAAAGTGAGAATCAAGGCCTTTTGTGTAGGGGGGCCCATGTGTTTTGGTGGTACAACACATGTTCTGCATGCAAAGAGTCCAAGGTTCAATCTCTAGCATCTTCTGGAAGACTCTTTTCTGAGGCCCTGGTGAGCCACTGCCAGTCAGTGCTGACAATACTGAGCTAAATGGACCAATGGACTGACTCGATATAAGGCAGCTTCCTGTGGTGGTGGTGCAGCTTTGGGACACGCTCCTCAGAAAGAGCTCACTTGATACATTCATTGGTATCATCCAGGTTGTCGTGAAGTCTATTCTCCCAGGCTTTGGTTTAGATTGTATGTAGATTTACTTCTTCCTAAAGTGGGATATGGGACGCGGGTGGCGCTGTGGGTAAAAGCCTCAGCGCCTAGGGCTTGCCGATCGAAAGGTCGGCGGTTCGAATCCCCGCGGCGGGGTGCGCTCCCGTTGCTCGGTCCCAGCGCCTGCCAACCTAGCAGTTCGAAAGCACCTCCGAGTGCAAGTAGATAAATAGGGACCGCTTACTAGCGGGAAGGTAAACGGCGTTTCCGTGTGTGGCTCTGGCTCGCCAGAGCAGCGATGTCACGCTGTCCATGTGACCCAGAAGTGTCTCCGGACAGCGCTGGCCCCCGGCCTCTTGAGTGAGATGGGCGCACAACCCTAGAGTCTGTCAAGACTGGCCCGTACGGGCAGGGGTACCTTTACCTTTTAAAGTGGGATATAGGGATGCAGTTGGTGCTGTGGGTTAAACCACAGAGCCTAGGACTTGCCAATCAGAAGGTTGGCGGTTCGAATCCCCGAGACAGGGTGAGCTCCTTTGCTCGGTCCCTGCTCCTGCCAACCTAGCAGTTCGAAAGCACGTCAAAGTGCAAGTAGATAAATAGGTACCACTCTGGCGGGAAGGTAAACGGTGTTTACGTGCACTGCTCTGGTTCGCCAGAAGTGGCTTAGTCATGTTGGCCACATGACCCGGAAGCTGTACACCGGCTCCCTCGGCCAATAAAGCAAGATGAGCGCCGCAACCCCAGAGTCTGTCACGACTGGACCTAATGGTCAGGGGTCCCTTTACCTTTTCAAAGTGGGATATAACCAAGTTCAGTCAAGCAATCAATCAATGGTTCTGTGCTCCTTGAGGCTGGCATTTCTGTCTGTGGCCTCTGTGCTTCCATCCCAAGTAGACAAACATCTTCCTTCAGTGTTCTAAGACAGTGTGATGCTTTTATTGTGCCACAAGGTGCTGCTATACAACAGCAGAATCATCATGAGAGGATAGAATACAAGCAATATTCTTCATAGAATGAAGAGGCCCATTTAGCTTTCAGAGGACGAAAGGGGCAAAAATGCACCCTGATTTCTGTGCAGGAAGACATCATGTGTGCGTGGCAAGCGCACATTTCTGCATCAAAATGATCTATTAACTGAGTCTGCATCTCTCAGTTCTGCAATCCTATACAGTGGTTCCTCAGGTTAAGAACTTAATTCGTTCTGGAGGTCTGTTCTTAACCTGAAACTGTTCTTAACCTGAGGTACCACTTTAGCTAATGGGGCCTTCCGCTGCCGCCGCACAATTTCTGTTCTCATCCTGAAGCAAAGTTCTTAACCTGAGGTACTATATCTTGGTTAGCGGAGTCTGTAACCTGAAGCGTCTGTAACCTGAGGTACCACTGTATACTAATAGTGCACTAATGCTTCAAGTGCCCTTACACAGGCCCTTACACAGCCTAAACCGCACCATCCATCCACAAAAGGGAAGTATAGGGAAGCCTGCTCAATATCTGTAGCAGTACCCCCAAAAAATATTTTTAAAAGGAGGTGGGGGTGACCCCTGTCTGATGAGGAGCAGCTATATTCAGTGGGCATGGAATGCTGGTGGAGTGTTTGAGGGGTAGAAAACTAGGGAATGGAGTATCCCAAAAAGGGCATGACTGACTGAAATTAGTGATGTTATAGAAAAATAGGGGGGTTGGCTTTTGCTGCCCAAGGGACTGAGTCCCCCAAGTCCACGATCGTTCAGAGATGAATGGATGGAGGCAGGATGCAGCAAAAGCAAGGCAGATCTTTATTTTTCTGTTGCAAAAGAGTTCCCTCCCTCCCTTGCAAGGAGGTAAGAGAGACCAAGAACAAAGTGTGCAGGAACCTTTAAAGACTTTTGACAGTGCCCAGCTCCTTAGCTGAAAGGGATGCGGGTGGCGCTGTGGGTTAAACCACAGAGCCTAGGACTTGCCAATCAGGTCGGCGGTTCAAATCCCCTCGACGGGGTGAGCTCCCGTTGCTCGGTCCCTGCTCCTGCCAACCTAGCAGTTCGAAAGCACGTCAAAGTGTAAGTAGATAAATAGGTACCGCTCCGGTGGGAAGGTAAATGGCATTTCTGTGCACTGCTCTGGTTTGCCAGAAGCGGGCTTAGTCATGCTGACCACATGACCCGGAAGCTGTACACCGGCTCCCTCGGCCAATAAAGCGAGATGAGCGCCGCAACCCCAGAGTCGGTCACGACTGGACCTAATGGCAGGGGTCCCTTTACCTTTACCTTAGCTCCTTAGCCAAAGACCACCCTAAAATCATCATACATACATCATAGGCGGCAGTCTGCAGCAGAAATCTTGTCTGCCAGGATAATGATAATGGTCGCTGATTGCATTACCTGGGCATTCTTTTGTGACGGTTAATACTTTAGTCCCTGAATCCAGGTCAGAAGCTCACCCTAGTCATACACAAATTCGCCCTTAAGACAGGATTTGAAAGTGAAAAGACAATGGGGAAGCTTTCCGCATTTGCCTCCCTCACTGCAGAGGAATATTTGAGGTCCCTGGGAGAGTCAAAAATGGCTTCAGGATTGCTCTTTTGTACCATTTCAGACACGTGGTTTATATACTTACGCATGTGTGCATTTATGAATATTTATTCTATATTTTAGACCTTAGAATTCTTCCAACAGTGACATGCTGCTTTACTGATTTAATGGAACTTTAATTAAACTGCTGTGATATACTTTATGCGAAAGCAGTATGCAAAAAAGGGTGGAATGAATGAGGTAGCAGCTGTGTCATGCTCTAAAACTAAATACTGTAAGGGGGAAATGATGATCTGCTGCACCTTACTTTTCTCTCGCCCGTCCCATGGTCCACCCCTATCCTTACTATCCTACTGAGAATTCTGGAGAGCTGCATACTGTTTCGGTTTGCACAAGAAAAACATTGAAATTAAAATAATTAAAATAATTAATTAAATAATTAGAATAATTTTGAAATTAAAATAATTTCAAAAATATTATTGGGCAACACAGCCACGTTCGCTTATCTGAGGCGGGGAAACCACTACCATTTGACTGCAGCCTTTCTAGCTGTAGAAATCACAAATAACCCAAACACCTTCCGGGTTCACTTTGAAGATTGGCTGCCTCTCTCTTCCGCCTTTCCAAATATTACTTGCAGTTGTGGGGAAAAGAAAAGTTAAAAAAAAAAAGGAACCCGGGAGTTTCGTTTCAGACCGTTGGGTTGCCCCCCTCTTCCCTTTTCCTATCTCTAGGTTCCTGGCTCTTTGCCGCAGCAGGAGAGCCTGAACTTGGGCTTCCGGCCAACGGAAAAAGGAGAAGAGGAAGTCCAGAAGGAAAGTGCCCGGCGGCGTGGGAGGACGGGAGGACGCTCTAGCCCCTTCCTCTCGATGCCTAGGCGGAGACAGCGGGCGCGAGAGGGAGAGAGATGCGGTTGCTTCCTGCCCGCTGTTTTGCTGCTGTCGCCGGTCGCGCTGTCCTGGCAGGTGAGTCGCCGCCGCCGCCGCCCTCTTCCTCCGCCGCCTCCCTTTCCCGGGCGTCCCGAAGGCATTGGCAGCAGCGGCTGAAGGGCTGCGGGGCGAGAGGGAAGCCAGGGGCACCCGGAGGTGCTCGGCCGGTTTCGGTGGGGAACAGCAGCTGCGGGTCGGTGGGAAGACGGAGAGGGAGCAGAATCCATGCAGAAGGCTTTGTAAAGGCTTCTGGGGTTGCATTGGGCAGCCGGCCTCCTCCTTGCAGCTGAAATGCGGCAGCCTGATTCCTATACTCCCCTCCAGGAGGAAAAAATATTCCCATTATCTTGGTTCCTCCCCGCCCCCTCATTCCCTGTAATATGATAATGTTGTGCATAGCCTTCATCTGCTCCCACCGCCTCCAGCCTTACTCTGGAGGAATGTGTAATTCATTGTTAATCCCACCCCCTCCCATGAGCTTTACTTCCACTTAAGTGGGTTTAGGGATGTATCTTAAACAGATTTCGATTTCAATGCTGGCAGCTTTTTGATAGGATATTTCTGTGCTGCTTTAAAAAATAATAATAGATATTGTATATATTCTGCGTTACATGGCGGTGAAGCATTTCCTCACTTGTGTAACTGCATTTTTCAAAGCCTAGGTCTGTCTGGAGTGTCTCCGGATAAATGCACACTTCTTGTTTTGAAATAGGCTCAGTGGATTGCTTTCAGCCCTAGGTATAAACTGCAATCGCTTCTGTCTTTTCTTTATCAGCTATATTTCAGAGCTTACACTGCCAATCCTTAATCAACATGGTGTCAGCATCCTACCATATTCATTATGATAATAGTAATAAAGGGGAAAGAGGGAGGGAGGCCTACCATGGAGTTTTGTCATTGCACACTGGTGTGTAGGGAGCCCTCTGTTTATGCTCAGGGGCCCTCTTAGCCATATCATGTTCATGGCTTAAATGAAGCTCCCTTTGAGGATCCTAGTCAGCGGTTTTCCTATACAAACACTGCCTGATTCAACAGCTACTGCAATTTCAGACAGACTGAACAGAAAGCGCCATACAGCTCCTGGCTAGAATAGAGTAGGTGACTTTTGTTTGGGATAATGAACACAATTACAAATGAAAGATTTGTGCCCTCATAGTGAATACTGCGTGGGTGGTGCTGTGGGTAAAACCTCAGTGCCTAGGACTTGCTGATCGTAAGGTCGGCGGTTCGAATCCCCGCAGCGGGGTGAGCTCCCGTCGTTCGGTCCCAGCTCCTGTCAACCTAGCAGTTCGAAAGCACCCCTAAGTGCAAGTAGATAAATAGGGACCGCTTTATAGTGGGAAGGTAAATGGCGTTTCCGTGTGCGGCTCTGGATCGCGAGATGCAGTTTCATCACGCTGGCCACATGACCCGGAAGTGTCTTCGGACAGCGCCAGCTCCCGGCCTCTTAAGCGAGATGAGCGCGCAACCCTAGAGTCAGTCACGACTGGCTTTCGGGCAGGGGTACCTTTACCTTTTAGTGAATACTGCAGGCCCAAACTTCACCTTCAAAGCAAATTTGCCAAACAGGCCATCAAATCCAACCCCCTGCATTAAGGCAGGATTCCTATAGCTAAAGTAGGAATTGGCAACTGGAAATCTTTGTTTCCACACAGAGACATGTGTTTTACACTTTGTGGTACTAATCTTTGGGGAATAAGGGACACAGGTTGGCCCACCAGTTACAATCTCAGGGAGCATCTGGTAAAACTGTTTGCTAATCAGGGATCTAAAGCAACCCCAAACACAGAGGTTAGTCCAACTTTTTAATTGAAAACCCTGAAGGAAAGTTTTCAAATCTTTTTACTTGAATCTTCCTTCCTGATGACTTCTTTTGCAAGATTCAGAATGAGGCAGATGACTGACCCTAAAATTCAAGCTTCCTTCTCTCCCCTTAGTCTTGTTCCATATTTGCTCTCTTTGAGTAGGCAAGAACCATTGCATGCACATGTTTGCTCATGTAGGCAAGCATGTGCTCAGTCCTGCACAGACAGCCACAATTATTTCTTTTAAAATGCTGTTGGAGAAGAGATGGATGCTTGCTCATAAATAGCCTGTGGCCTGGCTGTTTGTGGTGAGCAAAGGGTACCTCCGGGTAACCAGGCAGGCATTAGTGCAATACAAATCCTGAATTTGGATTTGCATGAGCAAGTGTGCTCATAACTTTTATGAGTTGATTTGCAAGCCAGGGTGACACACCGCCTCCTCTATGTGATCATATCCACACTTTCTCCATCTGCCAAGGTGCTTTATAAAAATGAACAATGTGTTTTGGCACAAGAATTAATAGGAGCCATGGAAGAAACACAGTGGAACTGCGGGGGAAGGACCTCATTAGAATTTATGCTTCCCATCATTGTGCAGAAAAATGACTTCATTATGGAAAATATATTTTCATTCATTCTTCTGTGGTGTGTATTTGTCTGAAGGCTATGCATTTTCTTTCTCTCCAGTGCAGGAAGTGGAAAAACTTTGTAATAAGAAAGTCTCCATCAACATTGGGCTGGTTATTGTTCTGGTTAATCCTGCTACTAAGAAATTCATTCTCTTTCCACCCTCTGTAGCAGTAGGTAGTCTCTAGCAGTTGTCCTCCTTCCAGAAAAAGGAAAAGAGAACCAGAAGAGCATGTTGATTCAGAGCATGAGCTATGAGCTAGAAGTTGGCAGTTCAAAGTTCAACTTGTTCATAAACCAGAGGCGGGGAACCTGTGGTCATCCAGATGTTAAGTGTTTCCCATCCCTAGCCATTCCTGGCTGTTGGCTGGGGCTGATTGGAACGGGAGCTCAACAATACCTGGAGGGCCACAGGCTACCCTGCCCCTGCCCGACTTGACAAGTGTCCATTGGATTGCAATCTCACAATTTCAGCCTTTCTAGTAGTGGGCATTTCCAACCACTCATTAACCTACAAGACCATCTACACATGATGAGTAAAATTAAAGCAACCCATTAACTGCTTTCTTCTTTTTTTCAGATCAATGCCTGAATAAATAAATTTATGATAAATATTATTGATACTGATATGAGATATCTAAATTCACTGAGACCTGCACAGCACACATGTTTGAAGCCTTTCATTCTAAGAACAATCAGGATCATAGTCAGGGAATAGAAGTAACGTTGGAAGCTGCCATTGTGAGTCAGACCATTGGACTGTCTAGCTTATGGAGTAGATCCTGTGTTTTGCAGGGCACTCTGCTTTTTAAGGCAGGAGTTTCATTGTCTAATGAATTGTGTTGTTTTATTCTGGATGAGTGTTTCAGAAAAGAAACGAGATAGGCTCCTGAGTTGCCTCATTCTTTTCCAATTTTTAAAATTATGCATATATATATTTGAGTAGAGTTTTCAGAATGCTGACTTCAGATTTATGTATTTCTTTTATCTAGCATAACACCGGCTTCATCTCCCTGTGAGGACGACTTCTCCTCCTAAAAAGGTAAAAGGTCATGTGCAGAATACATGGTGTGAATTGTTCTTATTTTTTTCCTTTTTTAAGAATTAGGAAAAGAAGCTGGAGCTTTTGGCTTTGGAAAACATTTCTTCTGATGGCCCATCTCAGATATTTCCCAGTGTGTATTTGAAAACTCATGCAGGCAAGGGACCAGAGATGTACATCTCTGCAGTGAAACCATCTGGCAAAGGTCTTCATTCATCTTGCGCTCTTCCAGTTGCCTGTTAGCAGGTGGACTCTGGAAAATGCAAACTAAATCAGAGATGGGGAACTCCAGTTCCCATCAACCCCAGGAGGAATGAACAGGAATGATGGGAGTTTTAGTCCAACAACATCTGGAGTAGCACACAGTACCTGCATAAAAAATTACCAGGTGTCTGTTGTAACTGCACAAGGACATAGTTACCTGTGTCTCACCACAAGCAATTAATTCCATTGCCCCCATTTCTCACCTCCCTTCTCTTCCACGATTCCAAGAGCTTTCTGACAAGTGATAATTATTCCAGGCAGTGATGCGGGGCAGAAAATTCTCTTGTTTTATAAGTTCATTAGTGGCAATGAATGGTTGCGAATTGTAACACACATTATTAGGCAAGATTGGCAGTTTCAAAGTTTTTAGCATTGCTTTCTAACCGCAAGTATTCTTGATTAGATCACGCTCTAGGGCATTGGTGCCAATGCAAATTACTCTTAATCTGCACAGAGAAGTTTTCCAAGTCAAATTTTTCCTGAAAACCCCCATCACTGATTGCAGGCTTGTTAAGATTTTAAAACACTGTGTGGCTCATGTCTGAGTTTCTCACCCTAAGCCTCCTGTCCTTTGCCAGCTTTTGTCTCTGTGCCCTTTTAAAAATGCCATTAGGGCAATGTAATGTAGGAGGTACCCTTAATGTATTTTAGATGTCCTGCTCACTAGCGACTGTACAGAAATCCTCTATGGATATGTCAAATGCCATTCTGTTTTCCAGTACAAGGCAGCACAAGGCTGTAAGGCAGAGGTAGGGAATCTGTGGCCTTCCAGGTGTTTTAGGGTTCTTTGGGCCTCATCCTGCATGACTAACAGGCAGACATGATGGAAATGCAACAAAATAGGGAGGGCCACAGACTCCCTATCCCTGGGCTAGAGCAGTGTTTCCAACCTTGGGCCTCCAGCTGTTTTTGAACTACAATTCCCATCATCCCTGGCCACTGGTCTTGCTAGCTAGGGATGATGGGAGTTGTAGTCCAAAAACAGCTGGAGGCCCAAGGTTGGGAAACACTGGGCTAGAGCAATATATACAAACCATTATTGGCCAGAATGGCATTGAAATAGGACACCTGAGGAAATTGTGCAGTTATTCCACTGGGTTTTAAAAAGTTGGATTTTCACAGCCTTGGGGAGAGGGGAAGGAAGCTGAAAAGGGGGAAACAGAGGGAGATGTTTTGTTCACAGCATTGTGCAGATGCACTGTAAAAACTTAAGTGAACAAAGTGTGGATATTCCAAAGGATATGCCATATATGCAGAGGAGTATTTGCTCAGCTGCAGATGTTTTGAAAGTTGTTGCTGCCGCAGAAAAAGCAAGCTGTTTTTTTGTTTAAAACCGTCTTGCCTCTTCAGCTGGGTGATTGTTTTCATTGCAGCTGTTCAAAACGATGAACCTTGGTGAACAAGCCTCTGCTTCCCTCAAGCAAGTTGAGCAGCCACCTATAGAACAGGGGTCAGCAAACGTTTTCAGCAGGGGGCCGGTCCACTGTCCCGCAGACCTTGTGGGGGCCAGACTATATTTTGGGGAGGGAAATGAATGAATTCCTATGCCCCACAAAGAACCCAGAGATGCATTTTAAATAAAAGGACACATTCTACTCATGTAAAAACATGCTGATTCTCAGACCATCCGCAGGCCAGATTTAGAAGGCGATTGGGCCGGATCCAGCCCCTGGGCCTTAGTTTGCCTACCCATGCTTTAGAATTTTAATGTTTGTGCTCTAAATGGCCAAAAGCCAATAGCTTTGTGTGTCTTGCAGGCAAGCTTGTAGCTGTTTCTTGATCAGTTGCTATTTCCGTCAACTCTGTTCAAAGTTTTGTTGCATTTGCAGTATTTTGAGAGTACTTTTTGTGAAATTGTTCACAAGGTTTTCTCTCCAACTACAATTATTGAGCTTTCAGGTATTTGTTTGAAGTGGATCTCGTGTGGGTCTCTCTCACAAGCTCCACTGAAATGAATGGAGATTTCTCCATAGTGCGCAAAAATACACACACTGGAGTACAGTCTGCATAAAAATGTATGTTCTAGTGACAATTGCACACACAAATGCATTATATTAGGGGAAATTGCTGTGCAAAATAGCATATTTGGCACAACTGCATATAAAAATGTGTGTACATGGAGAAATTTGCTCTAAAATGAGAATTTTAATGAGAACTTTAAAATATATATATATCACAGACCAATATGGAGAACTGAACTGAAGTTTGGAAAAATTAGGAAAACTGAGAGAAACTGAAATTGACAGATTTGCACATTTCTAACCAGGAAGTGTACTACATCAGTCTTTTCGTTTGCTTTGTGGTTAAAAGTTGTCTGTATATAGCAGGCATGGTGCTCTTTTAATTACTTGTACAGTCATACCTCAGGTTACAGATGCTTCAGGTTGTGCGATTTCGGGTTGCACACCGCACCAAACCTGGAAGTTCCAGAACTGGTTACTGGTTACTGAGAGAGACCCACAGAAGCGCCGAATCGCGACCTGCGCGTGCGCACACGTGGCGCTGCGGGTTGTGAACGTGCTTCCCGCACGGATCACGTTCACAACATAAGCGTGCACTGTATTGCAAAGGTTATGCTGGGGGGGTTGTTTTTCCTGTTTTCTCTGAACATTAAATACTGTTTCCTCATTTGTATCTGTTTTGAGGCCAATTACAGATTCTTACAAATCTATTTAGCTTCTGGTAACATTACTCATGCAGCTAAAAAATAACAAGTTGTTACTTCCGGGAGCATTGGTTTTCTTGAGTATGATCTACTTTAACAAGTTTACTTAATGCTTTATTTGACTTGTTAAAAGCTAACATACAGGGAAAGTGGCTTCACTTTTTCATTTTTGCAAGTCGTTTCCGTGTTTTTGAAAAATGTTTTGTATAGATCTGCTTGTGATGGAACAAAGAACCTCTCTTGCGGTAGATAACTATGACCTCATACAGCTGTGAACAAATGCATCAGATTTTTCCATTCTTATTGGCATTTATAAGAATCATGGTATAATTAGAATTTTATTATGAGCAGTTTTTGTGGGATAGCTATCCTTTTTTAAAATCGATCAATCAGTCAATCAATCACTTTTTTATTCTATCCACTCTCCAGATAGCACAGTGGCAAAATGGATCTGTCCCATTTTATCCTCACAACTCAGTGAGGTTGCGAGAAAGTAATTTTTTTGACGCTGTCCAGGGCACTTTGTGGTTCAACAGGAATATAAACCCAGGGCTCCCAGGACAAACTTTAGCACTCTATCTACCACACCCTGTCCTGGCTGTTAGCCATTAACTTTCTGGAACCTAAACTGTGTGTTAGTTTAATGGGGTAAGCCAGAAGCTGAAGTGACCTGAAGGAGAGGGAAAGATTCTCTGCTCCCTGAAAAAAATCAAGGGTTCTTTGATTCACTTACTTGATTCTCCTTCGTGCAGGGAAACATATAATGTACTTCAGATTCCCACAGGTAAATGAGCTGTGGAATCCTCTGAAAACACCAGTGACCTGGGAATGACTCAAAATAATAAGTAATAAAATGTTGCAGAAGACATCCTGAAATTCTGCAATCGTGTGCTCAAAGGAACACATAACAGGCACAAAATGTTCAGAGGATGTGGAGGGGCCACTAGGGGCGCATCAGAAGATGGCTGACAATAACATCTCTCTGACCCACACGAGGTAATTTGGAGGCTGTGATGGGAGTAAATAGCCTCCCTACCCCCCCAGGATTGTGGGGGGGGCTGCCCTTGCCTGCTGTGCCCTATACCACCCCCGAATTTGTGGGGATGGGGGCACCAGGCAGAATGCCATCCTGTGGGATCTCGGCACTCCTGGACGCTGTCTCTGATCCGCACCACTAGCTGCAAGAACTTCAAAAGAAACAATTAGGAGGAAGCGAATGCACATATTTCAAGGAAGGAGGGGGAGTAAAGACTGCTAACAGAAGAGATCTCTGATAAACAAGACGAGTCGGAGGAACAAGAATTAACCAGATGAAGATACACCAAGACTCGGTATGGCAAAAGGACTGGATGGGGGAGGGGGAAAAAACTTTCCTTTCTTTCCTCTATGTGATTAAACAAGAATCCCCCCCCTTCACAAGTCAGAAATGTCATTTGAAGGACTTAAGCTGTGGATTTATGTCTGTGTGGAGATAAACTTTCTAACCAAAGCATGCTTTAAGAAGAGCGTGGAATGTATAAGGGCTTTGGAATGACGCAGTTAAAAATACCGCCACCATATTGGGAAGTTCTGTCAGAGGACTTAAGTCTGGGAGGAGAAATAGAGAAATAGAGCTCGGAATTTATATGATGTGATTTGATTTGATTGGTCGGTTAATAAAAATTATTTTTAAAAAAATGTTCAGAGGATGTGGACAAGCCTTGCAGGGATGGTTGTAGAGCACCTTTTTTTTGCATTCAGAAAGTCCCAAGTTCAATTCCTGGCATCTATAGGTAGGCCTAGAACCCCCGAAAGCCATTGCTAGTCATTGTAGACCATTGTAGACCATGGGTAGGCAAACTAAGGCCCGGGGACCAGATCTGGTTCAGTCGCCTTCTAAATCCGGCCCATGGATGGTCCAAGAATCAGCGTGTTTTTACATGAGTAGAATGTGCCCTTTTATTTAAAATGCACCTCTGGGTTATTTGTGGGGCATGCGTGGTGTTTTTACATGAGCAGAATGTGTCCTTTTATTCAAAATGCATCACTTGGTTATTTGTGGGGCATAGGAATTTGTTCATATTTTTTTCCTTCAAAATATAGTCCGGCCCCCCACAAAGTCTGAGGGACAGTGGAATGGCCCCCTGCTGAAAAAGTTTGCTGACCCCTGTTGTAGACACTAGATGGAACAGTAGTCTGGTTTAATATAAACTAGCTTCCTATATTAATGTCCTCACCATTCCACCCCCAATCTAGGCCCCATATGCACAATGAATTTAAACCAGTATTATACCACTTCAAACAGTCATGGCTTCCCCCAAAGAATCCTGGGAACTGTAGTTTGTTAGAAGGGTGCTGAGGGTTGTTAGGAGAAGCCTGCTATAGTGCTACAGTTCTGAGTTCCCTGGGTTGTGTCTCTATGAGGTGTCTAGGGATCTCTGAACAACTCTTAACAAACTACTGCTCTTTGGGAGAAGCCATGTTTGAAGTGAGAGCTGGACCATCAAGAAGGCTGATCGCCGAAGAATTGATGCTTTTGAATTATGGTGCTGGAGGAGACTCTTGAGAGTCCCATTGACTGCAAGAAGATCAAACGCATCCATTCTTAAGGAAATTAGCCCTGAGTGCTGACTGGAAGGACAGATCCTGAAGCTGAGGCTCCAATACTTTGGCCACCTCATGAGAAGAGAAGACTCCCTGGAAAAGACCCTGATGTTGGGAAAGATGGAGGGCACAAGGAGAAGGGGGCAACAGAGGATGAGATGGTTGGATAGTGTTTTCGAGGTTACCAGCATGAGTTTGACCAAACTGCGGGAGGTAGTGGAGGACAGAGGTGCCTGGCGTGCTCTGGTCCATGGGGTCACGAAGAGTCGGACACGACTAAACGACTAAACAACAACATGTTTGAAGTGATTATCATGCTTTAAATGTATCGTGCAGTTGGGGATCCTTGGTGGACAGTTGGTTCTATGAGGGAAGACATTTTCTAAGGCCTTGGAACAGAAGCAAGCAAATGAACTTGGATAGCTCAGTCTTCAAGATAATTTTGGTTAGTGAGAAGGGATAGGCAACATCTTCTCAGGGAGAAGTTCAATCATTTCTGTGCTGTTGGTTTCCTTTGTGGAGTAGCCCCCGGCTGTAGAAAGCTTTCTCAGTTATTATCGAGCAAGGAAGCGCATTGGGTCTCAATGTAATTTCAGCCCTTGGTAACCTGGTCAAAGAGCTGATCCTTCGTTCTCATGCAAGCTCCCCATTCTCTGCTTCCGCAGAGCAGCCTTTTCTGCCCTGGCAAACAACTAGCAGAGTTAAGTTTCTTGACTCAAGAATTAAGAGCTTCTTAAGAGCAGTAATCCTTTACTAATAATAGCTTTGACTGCTGGGTTGGCCAGGTAGAAAGGAGGACAAGGACTCTTTGGGTGGTTGTGCAGAAGAAGGAATTTTGATATATTAAACTTGTCATAGGTATCTTTTACACATGGTACAGAATTGGAGCGGGGGGAGATAGAAAGAATCCTGAAGGAGTAGAACAGATTGAATCATTTCAGACTGCAGGTGGGGATTCCATTGTTAGGAGAAATTGTTAGAAGTGCAACAGCAGAGATCATTCAATTAACTTAGTGGTTAATTCTGTTACTGTTAAAGTCAGCTAACCAAGAGCAAACCAAGCTGCAGGTGTTGCCTGGCAACCAAGCAGCGTGGCATGATCTTCACTAAGTTAGCATGTGCTCTGATTGGCTGTGCAGCCCTGAGGAAGTTTTTCCTCTGTGTGTTTGGTTGTATGTCTCTGCATGTTTGGTTGTGTGTTTGGTTGTATGTATGCCTGAAGCGAGAGAGACAAAACCTGTGTGTTCCCTTTTTCTCAAATTACACACTGTTTTTGTCCAGTTTGCCCAGGAAAGTGTTACCAAGACATTGGACTCCATCTGAGTTATTTGAGTGACTTTGCTCATGGTATTTACGTTGAGCATTACAATATGGCATCTCCCACCTGCAGTCTGAAGTAGAGCAGACTGTGCTATTATCACCTCATTCTATAGAAGTGATCCAGAAAACATGGTGCCTTTAGACTTTCAAAAAGTTTTGGGCAAAAGATTTCAGGTTTGCAGAAAAGTTAATCATAGGATAAGGAGACAAGTCATTTAATTGATTGGTGACTGGTTAAATAACAGGAAATATATAATCAGAATAACTGGAGAGTTCTCACCATGGAGGGATGTAGAAAATTGTGTACCCCAAGGATCTGTTTTGGGAGCTGTGCATTTTTTAGCATCTTCATAAATGATCTACTAGAGTTGGGAGTGAGCAGTGAGCCAGACTTGCTGATGACACCAAACTGATTGCCAGTAACTCTGAAAGGATATCTCCAAACTGGCTGAATGAGCAGTATAATGGATAATGTATAAAGTGATGCATGCTGGGGCAGAAAATCCTAATTTCACATTCATCATTCTGGGGTCTGAACTATCAGTGACTGATGAGGAAATAGATATTGGAGTTGTAGTGGATGGAGATGTTGAACCAGTGTATGTGGCAGTTATGAAAAAGGTGAATGTTATGCTACGTATCATTAGGAAAAGAACTGAAAATGAAATTGCCACGGTATTCACACTATAATTTAAAACTGGCCCCACATTTCCTGAAGATAACCTTTTGCATTATGCATTGCATGGTGTGTTTAGCAACAGAGGAGAGACACTCTTGCAGCAGGTGATGTGATGAGAGATAATGGGCTCAGTGTGTTTGTTCCTCCTCGAGGAAGTTGTCTCGGTAAACTTTGGCAAGTTTATTCTTGCTCAACGTGCAAACATCCCAGGTTTCTCTTTGTAACTTTGCCCTTCCATCGCCTTTCATTTTCCCTTTCCTTTCCAGAAACTGGATGGCTTCTAATGTGAGCCTGAATCTGGATAAAGAAACGTTGCTGGAGGATGGGGTGCCACCTGCCAAGAAACCTAGGTGAGCAGAGAAGAGAGTTTGGAGTTTGGATTTGATATCCCGCCTTTCACTCCCTTTAAGGAGTCTCAAAGCGGCTAACATTCTCCTTTCCCTTCCTCCCCCACAACAAACACTCTGTGAGGTGAGTGGGGCTGAGAGACTTCAAAGAAGTGTGACTGGCCCAAGGTCACCCAGCAGCTGCATGTGGAGGAGCGGAGACGCGAACCCGGTTCCCCAGATTACGAGTCTACCGCTCTTAACCACTACACCACACTGGCTGAACGGGCCAACGGGGATTGGAAGAATTAATGGAGGAAATTAATTCGAGGCGGTGTAACTCTTGCGTGTGGGTTGCTGCAAGTGGGAGAGGGCTATTGGCTTCATGCCCTGCTTGCAGGCTCCCCATCAGCGTCTGATTGCCCACCATGGGAAACAAGGATGCCAGACCAAAGAGGACTTTGATTTGATCCCGCAGGGCTCTTATGTTAAGTTACATTATGGCTGGGAGAGCCATGAAGCTCCTTGGGTGACCTTGGGCCAGTCGCCAGCTCTTAGCCTAACTCATACCACGGGGTTTTTGTGTCTGAGGATAAAATAGTAGTGCAGGGGGAGGGCTAGGTTATCACAGAAGCTGCTCACCAGAGAGGTTTGAAGCTTCCCCTGTTTGCTACGGTCCTTAAAGGTAAAGGTAAAGGGACCCCTGACCATTAGGTCCAGTTGTAGCCGACTCTGGGGTTGCGGTGCTCATCTCGCTTTATTGGCCGAGGGAGCCGGCATACAGCTTCCCATTCATGTGGCCAGCATGACTAAGCCGCTTCTGGCGAACCAGAGCAGCGCATGGAAACACCATTTACCTTCCCGCAGGAGCAGTACCTATTTATCTATTTGCACTTTGACATACTTTCGAACTGCTAGGTTGGCAGGAGCAGGGACCAAGCAATGGGAGCTCACCCCGTCACAGGGATTCGAACCGCCGACCTTCTGATCGGCAAGTCCCAGGCTTTGTGGTTTAACCCACAGCGCCACCCACGTCCCTAATGTCCCCCAAATGCTTATTGCTGTGAGCTGCCGCAGTCCAGGACTTTTTATGTTGCAGCCAAGTTTGGCAGACTTATTTCTAACTTTCACCACACGTGTGTGTGCGCGCACACACACACACACACACACACACAGCATTCTTGTAGGGGTGTTTGAGGAGAATAGGTTCTTGGGACAGCTTAGGACCCCAGGTCTTTCTAAGTCCACGCAGCTCTTCATTTATCCAATAAGATCAGTGAGACTGCAGACGGTCAGGCACACATGGCTTATGGAATTTGCAGGCTTGCTGCAGCAGGAAGGTCCTTGGTTCAATCCCTGGCATCTGCAGGCTCATGGCAGGGCTGGGAAGGATTCCTGCCTGAATTTCCAGAGAGCTCCTGACTGTCAATATCAGAAGTACTGAGCTAAGATGGACCAGTAGCCTGATTTGGTTCCTATGAGCATCCCTAGATACTGGAAAGTGCTGTTATTAATAATGACACAAAAAAAGACAGAGAACGACAGTCAAAGGTATGAAAGAAGGTAACTTCCATAACGCAGGCTTGGCTGGTTCTACAAGGTTAGCTAGTAACTGTGCGAATGTACTCGCCTCTTCAAATGGACCAAAATTTTCCCACAGACAAGGGAAAGTAATCTGACACGGAACAAAATTCTAGCAATTTTTCTGTACTAGACCAGCTCTTTTCAAGATAATTGTGGTGTTGGGTTTTGTATCAAAACTATATATGTATATTTAGTTATTATTATTTATTACATTTATATACCACCCTTCAACAAGAGATCCCAGGGTGGTTCTTTGGTGCCCCCATGTTGCTTTGTTAGCCATTTGTACAGCCTGCTGTGAAGCTGAAAGAACTAAGGGGATATTTGACATTTTGAAAAGCTTGCCTTCACAGTTGCCTGGTGTGAATCTGAAGGCAGCCCTGTTTAGGGAAGCTTTTAATGTTTAATAGGTTGTTGTATTTTAGTGTTCTGTTGGAAGCCGCCCAGAGTGGCTGGGAAAACCCAGCCACATGGGTGGGGTATAAATAATAAATTATTATTATTATTATTATTACTACTACTACTACTACTACTCAGCCAGCGGTACTCATGCCAGGCAAGGGGCTATCTGCAAGCTTAGCTATATGGGAGTGGTGGCCAACGTAGTGCCCTCCAGATGTTGCTGGACTGCATCTCCCATCATCCCTGACCATTGGCTAATCTGTTTTGGGATGATGGGAGCAGCTGCAGCCCAACAACATCAGGAAGGCACCCCATTGGCTAGCATAAGGGCCTTGGCCGTATCTGCACATGTCAAGCCTTGTTCCCTATAAATTTCTCCATGCTGATGGCAGGTCATGGGCATCTCTCCCTCTCTTTTTGGTTGCAGGAAACTGTTGCCGAGCCTAAAAACCAAGAAGCCCCAGGAGCTCGTTCTGGTGATTGGGACGGGCATAAGTGCCGCAGTCGCTCCCCAAGTGCCGGCCCTGAAGTCTTGGAAGGGCTTGATCCAGGCCCTGCTGGATGCTGCTATCGACTTTGACCTCCTGGAAGACGAGGAGCGGAAGAAGTTTCAGAAATGCCTCCGGGACGATAAGAACCTCATCCACGTTGCCCACGACCTTATCCAAAAGCTGTCGCCAGTGAGTCAATGAGCCGTGGAGCGAATGGTTTGCAAGTTTCAGGCAAAAAAGTGTTAATAGATTGTACTGTTTTGTGTGGGGGTGGAAGGGCCTGCCTATGTTTACGGCGCAGAGTCTGACAGCACATGCTCTTCTAAGCTTTAGGACAGGGGTCAGCAAACTTTTTCAGCAGGGGGCCTGTCCACTGTCCCTCAGACCTTGTGGGGGGCTAGACTATATTGGGGGGCGGGGATGATGCAACAGCACCACGATTCCCGGTGGCTGCTTACTTGTGTCTTGCAGGTGGCAGTGGCGGAGGGATGATGAAAGGTGCGCGAAAGGGGCTGCTTAAAATGGCAGCCACTTGAGCACTGCTGCTGTTGGCACCAACAAAGCCCAGCCCCCTTCCTCCTCTAGGCAGGGCGGGAAGAAGCCAGGAGGGAGGAGGCGCCGCCGCTGCCAAGGGAGGGAGAGGGAAAGAACATGCACGCTGGTGATCCACGTGGCAATTCCCGGACCGTCCATGGACCAGGATCCAGAAGGCGATTGGGCCTGATCCAGCCTGCGGACCTTAGTTTGCTGACCCATGCTTTAGGAACATGGGAAGCTGTGTTATGCTGAGTCAGGTCGCTGCTCCATCTAGGTCAGTGTTGTCCACTCTGACAGGTAGTGCCTCTCCAGCAGATTTTCCCATCCCTGCCTGGAGATGCAAGGGATTGAACCAGGGAGTTTCTGTGTGCAGATCAGGGTGATCTGCACACAGAATTTAAAATCGATTTAAATTACTAGTCAGTAAGACTTGATTTAAATCTTTTTTTTACAGACACTCATTCTTGCTGGTATAATCTTAATATTTACAACCAGATGAAGGTTTCATTTTCGGAATAATAAATTTTCAGAGTAGCTTTTACAGTTATATCAAAAATTACTGATTTGGTTATGCTATTAGAAATACATAGGCAGATAATTATGAAATTATTGTGAGGTTTAGTAAGTATAACTGTTTATATTTTCTGCTGTGCTTTATTGGAAGGAGAAAAAATAATAATTTCCTTAATAACAATTTAAACAATTTATTTAACCAAAACAATAACATTATAGCATATGTATCCATGTTTGTTAACTGATGTGGTTAAACTTTTTTTCCCATTTTTTTAAAAAAAACAAATCCTTATTTCCTGATGAATAGCCTTTGGACTATAATGTAACTTAAATAGAAAACTATAGAAAGATTTTTCCTCCAAAGGCATTTTATTTTAAAAATCGAATTTAAAAAATCAGATTTAATTTTTTTAAAAAAATGATAATCATTGAATTTTTTCCACTCTGGTGCAGGTGCTCTATGTCTGAGCTAGGACCCTTTCCCTTTTTCTCTGCTTTCCCTTCCCTATGAAAAAGCCATATCGGACTGGGCTGAATGCATTATCTTTCCTCCAGTCTGAAGGCCACCTATCCCACTGTTTTGATGGGGCTTGCAGTGGTCTCCTGTCCAGGTTCCCAGTTTAGGTCCAACGACGCAGCATGAGGCATTCCAGTCTATTGTAAAGAATTGAAGCAGGCAGTTAGGCATCTGTCAGGCTTCAGAGAATTCGATCCCACCCACGGTGACAGCCAAAAAGCAGATAAACAAGAAGAGTTCTTACCAAGTAATTTGTTCACTATTCACAGAGAGAGATGGAGGAATGCAGCCTCCCTAAGATAATGGCATTGTTCCGAGTAAAGTCCCACCCCCTCCGTCTCTTCTATTCTATGCCAATAGGCTAATCTGTGCTTTCTGCCTCTGAGCTTTCTGTTCTTCTACTCTCAATGCTCGTCTGGTCCTGGGAGAGGGGGGCGGATCAGGAATGCTTTCCAAAGACACGGAGTCTGTCAGCTGTCTCTCCCCTGGTGCTTCTTCTTCCTGCTGCTACTCTCCCAATATTTCCCAGCTTCTCCCATCTGCAGCCTCTGAACTATGCCCTTCTGCAAACCACTGTCCTGAATCTATACTATCCTCCTCTTCTTGAGAACGTTCAGTGTCCCAGCACTTTCTTTGGCAGCCCTCTATGCTGTGAGAGTTTGGGCAGAAATAGGACTCTAATGCAAGAATTGCAATTCCAGTAATGTGATTTTCTGTGTTTACTCAGAGGTAAGCCCATGGGTGTTTTCTCACAGGTAAGTGGACACAGCTTAGTAGCTTAATTCCAGCTGTGCCTCTGCTGGATCTCAGCAACCAGTTCAGACAGCTGTTTATGCTTCACCCTCCTCAAGTCCTCTGCTGCTGTTTTTTTTAAAATGGTCGTTTAATAAAATAAATACAAATAAATCAATTCTGATCTTGGCTTGTCCCCCCCCCCCATCTTCTTGGCAGCGCACAAGCAATGTCCGTTCCACGTTTTTCAAGGACTGCCTATACGAGGTCTTTGACGACCTGGAGTCCAAAATGGAAGACACAGGGAAACAGCTCCTTCAGTCCGTTCTCCACTTGATGGAAAACGGCGCTCTCGTGCTGACCACAAACTTTGACAACTTGCTGGAAATTTACGCGGCAGACCAAGGAAAAAGGCTTGAATCTCTGGACCTGACCGATGAGAAAAAGGTAATTGGCGGGTGCTCATGACTGCGAACAGTGGCCAATCTAGCATGAGAGCCCATTCATTTCTCAATGGTGTCCCCAGCTCAGGCCTTAAGTGCCATTTTAGCCGTTGGCTGTGGTGGTAGAACACACTGTGTTGTGTCACTTGCAGTAAGAAGACAGGACTAACACTGCCAGGCAGGGGGAGAGAAGAGAAGGGAGGGAGGGTCTCTTCTAAATGGTGTTTTCCTCCTACAGTGGCACATTTTATTATAAAAAACCTATTTCAATAGTTTTAATATTTAAAAAAATATCCTGCATTTTACTCTGTGAACTGCCCTGAGACCTTATGATGAAGGTTGGTTGGTTGGTAATTAATTAATATTGCTAGACGAGTCAACAGTACCTTTTTTTGTTTATCCAAAGCAGGATCAATTAACGTAACTATTTAATTCAATACTAAAGCCCCTATATGCATCCTCACCAAGCAGCCTCTTTCACACACAAACAAAAAAGACTAGACCCCGCAGCTCTGCTTTCTCTCGTATTCTACTCATGCCTGCAAGTGTTAATATTCACGGGAAGTTCCTTTTTCTTTTTCGAAATCACAAGGCTATTATTGCACTTTGGCAAATTCCAGGGGTATTTATAGTGTTGACTTAAAGTGGAGATTAACAAAGTAGGCTATAAAGTTAGAAGCAACCTAGGAAAGCTGCCTTATTCTGAGGCAGGTTAGCTTAGTATTTTCAACCTAGAGTGGCAGCGTCTCTCCAATGTTTCAGACGGAGGACATTTCCAACCCTCCCTGGAGAGGATGAGGATTAAACCAGGCATCTTCTGCCTGCTCTACCACTGAGCTTGGGCCTTTCTCCGAAGTTCACCCCTGTTTTTCAGCTTCCAAAAGCTGAAATTCCTGTAAGCAGCTCCTCTTTTGTTGGAATGGACTGAGTGCCTGGCTTTACTCCAAAAGCCATGTAAACAGCAAAAGGAGAGTTTATTTCTTGCAAGTTCCTTTTGATTACGTATGCCTGGTTTTCCACGTACGTCCTTGATTTCTGCTTCCTGCGTAACTTTTCAGTGTGATAATACTCCTGACTGGGGCAAGGGAGAATAAACAGAAGATGAGCTACATGAGAATGAAATGTTAAACACAATAAATCGTGGAAGTGTTATGATAGTACCTGTTGAAGTACATTTGGAAAACTTCCCCTGTGCCAAACTTGGTTTAGAGAAGGCTCTGCAACTCCTATTTTAGGGAGGGAAAGTACTAAATTTCAGGGAAGGAATGTAAAGAGCTGGGAGAGAATATTGTCCTATAGTATGCAATTCTGAATTTAGTTTTTTGCCTGTAACAGTCATGAATGTACTAGTGGGTAAAAACCCAGAATGGGATGCATTTGTGCCAAAAAAATATGATAAAATTAGATAATCCCAAATACAGTATGCTTATTTAAACAAATTGGCCTAGCGTTGCTTATTGTGTGCTTCCAAAATGCAGGAAACAATATTTTGAGCAAGAAATGGGACAACAGCAAAGATTTGAAGAGTAGATGCTGTTCCACTAGCACAGCAGACTTCTGTTTGCACAATGCAATTTCCCCTCTCCTGCAGCTCCCAGCACACTCTGAAAATCTGCAGTCTGGAGAGTTGGAGAATTCTCCCCAGCAGATTTAGAAGTCTCATGCAGGGAGGAGAGGAAAGGAGTCCTGCTGCACACAACATTGTAGACAATCCTCAGACTGGAAGAGATGGACAGGTGCCGCACTGGCAATTGATCTGGATTTCTGTTTTCATTAGCTCGAAACCTAGTACAGTACACAGGAAACGGCTATAGGGAGCAAAAGGCAACTGGAGGGTCTTCCCTCAAGAAAGTCTTTATGGGGGGGCAGGGCAAATGTCAATGTTATACAGCAATGTTGACTCAAGCTGTAGCAGTCAAAGGATCCCATTTTTTACCCTGCATGGGCTGCAGCTGTTGTCCCACCATAAGCCTGAGAACATCCTTCACAAAGGAACCCAACTGTGTGCAGCAGCATGGGGTCTGATGCTAAGAAGTTCAGATAAATACATCCCTGGGGCTGAGAGAGCTTGCGTGTGTGTGGAATTTATTGTGTTTATAGATTCTGAGAGCCCTCCCGCCCGCCCCGAGGCAGGAAGTCTATAAACATATTTGCAGGGTGCTCAGTTTCTGGAATGTGGGCTTGAAAATAAATAAAGGCATTCCTGCTCTTCACCCTGCCCTACTGGCCACTCAGTCCAAAGCACAGTAGGTTGTAGAAGCCAAAGGGAACTGTACTTTCTGGGACTGTTGACGCTGAGCGCTGCTTTTGAAATCCCATACAGGTGCTGGAGTGGGCGCAGGAGAAAAGGAAGCTCAGTGTCCTACACATCCACGGTGTGTACACAAACCCCAGTGGGATAGTGCTGCACCCAGCCGGCTACCAGAATGTGCTACGCAACACAGAGGTTATGGTGAGATTGGCAGCCCTCTCTGGGCCTTGTTGCCTCTTGAAGGATGAGTGCTGTTAGTATATAAGTCTGGGATGAGGACTCTGTGGCCTTCCAAATGTTGTTGGACAGCAGGGTTGTTGGTTGGGGATGATACAACAACATCTGGAGGGTACAATTTCCTCATCCATGATATGAGTATCAAGCCCTGAGTGCTTCAAACAACCAGGAATGTCTTCTAAAGAACCCCCCAAACAAGACAGGTTCCCTTAACTATAAAAAAGGCAGTTGTGCATTAACAGACTTTACACATGTGCAGCGCCTGCTTATGCCAGGTGTGCATACTATGGGTACAAGTCTTCTCTGCTCTATACTGGTTTTTAATTCAAATGTGTGCGCGCACACACGCACACCCCACCTCCTTGTGTAATTAAATCGCATATTAACTTCTTGTTTATGCATACAGAGAGCTGGATCAGGATGTAGAGTTGATACCAATTAGTGCTTTTAACTGTCAACAAATTTAACAGCTCAGTAGCAAGTCACTGGAATGGCAGATGGTGTGACGCATTAAGGCAACTGCACAAACTGGAGACATCTGAAAGCAGCCCTATATAGGGGAGTTTTTAATGTGTGATGTCTTACTGTGTTTTAATTTGTTGGCAGCCGCCCAGTGACAGGGGTAACCCAGTCAGGTGGGCGACATACAAACAATTATTATTATTACTAATTTATTGCACTTGAGGCCAGAAAGGAATTATCAAGTTCAGATTGACTAGTGACTGGACGGCTGCTCGTGTTTTTGTTTGTGTGTAGGTATAAGGAGGGTTAGACTTCTCCTGCCCACCGTGGCTTGACTCAAAAGTGGACAAGGCTGGGCTGACTTGGCTGGGCTTTCTAGCCACTCAAATCAGGGTTGAGGACATTGTACTGCTCTTGTTGATCCCTTAGGAGTGGGGAACCTATTATTCTCCAGCTGTTGCTAGAATCTAACTCCCATTAGCTGCAGCTCACATGACAAATGGTCTGGAATGATGGCAGATGGTAGGACATCTGGAGGTCCACTGGTTCTTCATCCCTGCACCAGACAATTATTGCTTTTGTTACATGGAGCTAGCCAAGCTGACCTTTTGGCTCCTTCCAATTCTAAAACTCCACAGTGCTAATGAAAGTCGATATTCTGTACACTTTCCTTTTTCCCTTTCCTTTCTTAAAGCGAGAGATCCAGAAGCTGTATGAAGCCAAATCGTTCCTGTTCCTGGGCTGTGGCTGGACTGTGGACGACACAACTTTCCAAGCCCTCTTCCTAGAAGCTGTGAAGCACAAATCTGACCTGGAGCACTTTATGCTCGTGCGCCGTGGGGATGTGGACGAGTTCAAGAAGCTCAGAGAAAACATGCTGGACAAAGGGATTAAAGTGATCTCATACGGGAACGAATACGCAGACTTGCCTGATTATTTTGAGAGGCTGGCAAATGAGATCTCCAACCGGGGTCGAGCAGGTAAGAGGACTGGCAGTCTTCCTAGTGCAGAGAAGGGGAGCTTGCAGACATCCAGAAGTTGCTGAACTCCAGCTCCCATTAGCCCTGACCATTGACCATTCCATCTGGGGCTGATGGGAACTGAAGTCCCAAACCTATCTGTAGCCCTCTAACATTGCGTCTTCTGTTGGATTTTGACTTTATCACATTCACATCACACGTTGCTTCCCTTTAACTTGAGGTGGCCTAGAAGGGATTCCCCCTGGGTTTGTTGTCTAGGCACTCACCAGATCCAGATCTGCTTAGTTCCAGCCAGGTTATGGCCTCGCATGCCTTCAGAGCACTGAAACTTCGGTGTGAGCGATACGAATGTGTAGTACCGGAGCCCCCTTGCTTTCATTGAAAACAAAAAGCAGGAAGCCAAACAGGTGAATGAAGTAAGGCTTTTAGAGGATGGGTGGAAAAAGAGGGGCTTCTGTGTGCTGTATTGACCTTTGTTCCACCTCATCATAGCAAAACCAGCACAATGTATGCAACATTAAGCAAATTAGGTGCATTTGCATAACTTTATACAAGAGGTGGTCAGAAGCATGGAACACTTGTTAGCTATTTGTGATTAAGAAAAATATGTGCCTCACACAAATAGCTGAAAATAAATCTTTACTTGTCTGGCTGGCAGCAAGTATTATTTGCAAACTCCTCTAGGCAGCATCTAAATGGAGTCTCCAAACCTCTCACCTTCAAAATCAAGATAGAGCAGGATAACTAACCAACCCCCAACTGCCAATTGTCAGCTACCACCTCCTTTCTCCAATACCATCTGTTCTTTGTAAAATAACTATATTCCCAATGAAATTCCAGACGCATGGAAAGCTTCCCACACCAAGGCACTCCCTTTATATAATGAATGGCAGCTTAGAGTTGGAAGATCCCAAAAGGGGCTGGACGCAGCCTTTCCGAAGATTCCTGTGGGTGTCTCGTCACAATATTTTAAGCAAACAACTTACCACCTCCCCCCCCCCAATAGTACCTTTTATAAATGGGCTCAATCCAAAGGGAAACCGTTCTAGGGGAAAAGGGGTTGTATCCCACTAAGTTCTAAGCAGGGTAGAACCATAGAAATGCCTGAACCCAAGTAAGTCAAGACATGAACTCCCAACGGGTCTACTCAGAGTAGGACTAGCATCGGCTACAACCCTTAGTGGAGTTTGTAAGCCTAGCATAGATGCAAGACGCTCTCACACATTTTCTGTGGGTCACTGCTAACGTGTCACCTCCAAATAACTTCGATTCCCCGCCCCCTTTCCAGGTCCACCTCGGGAGGGACAGCTAAATGGCATGGCTGCAGCACACACGGAAATCAAAGGTAGGGAGCTTACTTAATACTCGACACTCCTTAAGGCCAGCTCTGGAGAGACAAATTTTGCTTACCTGCAGCTACCACCACCCACCCTGAAGTGGGTGCTCTCTCGTGCATGATAAGAGCTCACGACTTAAGAAGGTATCTTGCAGAAAGGGGAAGATTCCTTAGTAAGAACGAGTGAGGACACCTTTCTGCCTCCAAACTGCAATGCGCAGTGTTCCAAGCTGTGGTGGTAGCAGGCTCCTGGAAAAGGAAAGCAGTAGTGATACCAGTGGAGGATTCGTTCTGCAGTTCATGTGGGCAAATTTGAAAATTGTCTTGTTTCTTAGGCGGAAGGTTTTTTTTTTAAGGGAATTTCCACATTATCACAACTCGGCTCAGCCTGGGTAAGAACTTTGTTAAAGCTGGAAGCAGTAGGACGCCTTGGCAGCTAATTTTCTCAGATTGCGCCGGAGAAGAGGGAAGTTGTGACCCTCCAGATGTTGTTGAACTCCCAGTTCACATGAAACCCAGCCAGCATGGCGAATGGTGCAGAATGATAGGAGCTGATAGGAGAGCAACAATATCTGGAGAGGCAAAGATTCCCCTTAAACAGACCATAGAAAATCCTTGTGGAGTGATACTTAGCAAGTGAGGATCGTATCCGGCATTCCCTTATCCACTACCGCAAGAGTCTTAACACCAGTGGATCACAGAGGTTAAAGACTCTGCAACATTTGGGCTAGCGGAAACTTGTGCATTGGCCGATTCTTGTGCAGTCTGTTGCCCAACCACCTTTGGTAGTGTGCTTGTTTTCCCTTGTGCGACAAGCATACCGCTAAGCAACTTCTAACTTGGATGCGACTTGCATCCATTAGAGCAATATTGTTCCAGATTAGTGAATCCTCTCCCTCCTTAACAGACTCCCTGGGCATGGGAGCAGGAAGCACATGTTATAGTTGGGATGCAACAACAGAGCATGCACGGGAAGTGTTCCTATGTCTTCCTGTACCCATTGCAAGGCTGAATACCACTCCACAAACCCCTGTGCGGGCATTATTCCTGAATGGGGAATGTAAACACTAGTAGGGAATGTCAGGATACTAACCCGGCTCCTAGCCTTCCTGTCTGCACCAGCCCCAATGTTTCCTACCACCCCCTCCAAAAAAAAGACCCTCCGTGTTGAATGGCTGTTTGAAGGGGCTTGCAAGAGCCTTTGGACTGAGTGCTCTTAGGAGCCTCCGCATAATCTGAGTCTTGAGCAGGTGGGGTTCGCACTCGCAGAAGCCTCTAAGCAGTCAGATGCATGTGGAAATCCCCTTTAGACTTCCTGCTAATGCTGGAAGGTCAGGGTGGGGACGCATGCCCCCAGTCCCCCTTAGTTGTGCTTTGAACAGGGCTAAACCTAGTCCCAAATGTTTTAAGAATGGAAGCCATATAAATAATGTGGCTAATACGGAGGGGGCCATTTGCCCCGTCACAAGTGATCTCGAGTGTCTGCCGTTTTAATTTCTCCAAGAGCTGGTTTGCCATCCAACCCCGTTCCCCCTTTTAACCAGCTCCTTTTGTTACTAACCCTCTCTAGTTGTCCATGGGTTTTGTTAGGATCTCTCCTACTGCCTTCGGTTTTAAGGCCAGTGTCCAAAATATCTGCCCAGGTGACATCTGAAGACACTAATTCTACACAGGGTACAGCAGGCGAGAACGCAAAGCACTCCCATCTGAGCAACACCATCGTACAGGTTAACCCTTCTGCTAATGATTTAAAAGCAAGATGCTGACAAGCTCCTTGTAAGACGTGACTATCTCAAACGTTGCTTAGGGAAGAAAAAGCACTGCCTTTGCCGCGGTTGGTTCTTGGAAGGGCCCATTTTTTGTTCTAGCTGCTGCCCCATCAACATGAAACCGTAAAGCGTCCTTTTGGACTCGGCAACTCGTCTTGGACCCTTGGATCTGGGCATGGAGATTTGTCTTACCAATGTGATGTCGTGTTTTTTTTTTTTTCTATTTAAGGTTGTATCTGCAGAGAGATCCGTCCTCTCTCCCACTGAGCAAGAGTTTGCTACTAGTGCTTTTGTATTCTGTAAGGGTTTCAACTAAAATGCAAGCATTTTTTTAAAAAAAGAATTACTTGAAGCTCTAGTTTTCTAAGTCTTTTCTTTATACAGTGTTTTATATGTTTGGAGCTATAATAAATAAAAAGGATGTTCACTTATCTCTGGCTTAAGAGTGACTTTAGACAAATTCATGGTGGAAGCAATGGCCAGAGAGGCAATGTAGGTGTGACATGGGGTGGTCCCTAGAGCCTTCATGCTCCCAAGTATGGCAGGTGGGAAGGTGATGTTACATGCAGTGCAGTTTTCACCTGCTGCAGCAGAATTCCTACATTCCCTGGATTGTATGGGAGCTCACGGAGGACATGAAACTGGGCTAAATGAGAGGGTCTTGTAAGCCTCCTCCTAGGAAACAGAGTTGAGGCAACAGACTTTAAAGTCACAAACCAGCCACTGCTACACATTAAGAGAAACCTCTATGTTTGCAGAGGATACTGGGGAGCTTTCAAAGATGTACACCAGGTTTACAGAGAACTTGCCTGCAGCCATGCATTGCAGGGAAAAGATCAGAAGGGAAGGGATCAGCCCTAGGAAGCTTGCTTGCCATTCCTGGTCTGGGGGGTTTTCTGGAACAGTCTGAAGCCCTGGATTTTTATGCTGCTGCACCTAACAACAAAGGAAATCACGTGTGGTTGTTGTTGTTTTTTAAATGAAGTTTTATTATATAAATTACCTTTTAGCAGACAGCATTCAACTTATTGCACTAGAGCACATCTGCAATACCGAGCTACGAGACATCTTCATAGAGAGTTTTGTAGTATTTAACATAGCACTTTATACCAGGATCAAGAGGCACTCTGAAGGGAGGGGGAAGAAAAGCAGCAAGCACCCACCAGAAAATTCCTGTCACAGACTGGTTTAGAAAAGCAAAAAGCCAGTGCAGGCGGGAGAGCATGCAAAGGCTTGCGTTGACCAGTTTCAATCCATCCTCTGATGATTAGGTGGGGCCGTGAGTTATGGGACCAGAATCCTGTGTCAGCAGCAAGGGCAGTTGTTCAGTACAGAATATACCCGCAATTCCCTCCTCTAATTTTTCACACAACCAGCTCTTCCTGGAAGCACAGATGTTTCCTCCCCCTCCCTTGGTTTGAATTAGGACTGTGCTGGGCAAAGGGATTATCTGAAGCATCGTAAGCCGCAAGCTTCCATTTTGCATATGCACATTCAATCGTGTGCAAAGTTATAGTGTGTGCTCACAGCAAAGGAATCGGAGGGAAAGTCTTCATAGCCAGCAGCAAGCACAACCGTTATGTGAGAATCGGCCTGTAATTCAACCCCACCCCCAAAAAAATATGCACCACGAAGCAGCTCACTGATCAGCTGGAGAGACATTATTAGAAAAAGAAAGGGAATGTCACCCCCACTTGCAAATATGTCATTAGGATGGCATCACGGGTTCCTGCATTTTTCACACAAATGCTACAGTCTGGGGCAGTGTCTGGAGGGCCCTGCTGTAAAGAGTCCCACTGACAGTAGAAAGGAGGACCATTTTAAGGCATCAACAGCCACCCTGTTAAGCAGGAATTCACTCTGGTATCTATCTTCCTTTTTTTTGGTTTGAAAGCTTTGGTGAACTACTGTGTTCAAAGCAATCGGCAAATGTGAAGCTTGATAAGAGCAGAGCTGCCTGTAGGCAGTATCCGCTCTACCCCGTGGCCGGAGAGAAAAGTTTTAAAAGACAGCAGAGTTCATAGATGCTTAGGTAGTGGCAGAACAATCCCCCACCCCACAAAGTCTCTTATCGCACCCGCTAACCTGGGATGGGGGGGGGGGACACGGGACCAAAGCTCCTGCTTTGGACTGTCTAAGCAGGCAGAATGAAGGGAAACAGGAAAGAGGACTCAGTGGGAAAAGTGAAGACAACCCCGGAACACTTTTAGAGCCAATGTGTATGAAAGTAAGAAGAATTCAAAGGAAGACAGGCACCTCTTGCTACAATTAAACCCACACATCACATCAAGGAAGGTGTGTGTTAGCAAAATCAAGAGAAGGACCGAAAGCCAGGTAAGCAGCTTTTTTCTAGCATCCCTCCATTCTGTGTTGCACTATGCCAAAAACGGGGGGGGGGGGGGGTTCTAAAAACAGTCACGCTGGAAAGCACATTCTGAGACATCTGCAGACAGGAATTTGGTGCAATAACTGGTGGTTAGGCCTTCATGAGAGCAGCAACCACGGCCTTGGCATTAAGGCTACGCAGGTCACAGTAGGTCTGTCCAGTACCCACAAACACAATTGGTTTACTAGTGATGTATGTCATGGAAATTGCAGCGCCAACCTGGGGAGAAAAGGAGCAGCTGTTAGTGTAGGAAAGGACAATATAGTATCATTGTGTACAGTGAAATTGCATCGGGGTGGTGGTGGTTAAGAAATCCTTGCTATTTCCATGGTTACAGCCTCTCATTTTTTAAAAAAACTACTAAATGTGCCTTGTGTCTAGTCCACTAGGTTGGGGAAGGCTGGTCTAGGATGTGGGAGATACACACACTGATGTTAGCCGGTTTTTTCCCTTCCTAAGGGTACATCTCTTACCATATGGGGATTTTAAAAAGGCATTTTCCCCCAATGAACCTGCCTTGATCCTTGGTCATCTGCTCAAGACTGCCACCCAGATAAAAGAAAATGGCCCCCACTGTGGAATACTGTTCCCCAACAAGGAAGCTCCAGTGCCCCTCCAGTTCATGCATGAGCCAAAAAGGCCTTCGAGGTTTGCTCACTGTCACAGGGCTGGGCAATGTATCTCGGCTGTTCTTCCTACTCTTAAGGTGGGAAGAAAGCAACAGCTGAGAAACATTCCAGACACCGTGATAAATCAGCATATACTGGTATTTAGCTGCTGATCACAATGTTGAAAACCAAGTGTCGTCCCGGCCCTAGTGTATAGGCTCCAGCTATGCCTCCCCTGCCGCCGCGTCACAAGGCTGCTTTTTAAAAAAAAAATCCAAGAGAAAGGTTCAACAGTATGTGGCACAGCACTCAACTGAACAATTTAGAAAGGGAAACACATTACGGGCCCCAGAAAGCCCTTCTGTAACTTAAAAGAGACTTGCCGGATCATAATCTAGAAACAATCGAAAGCTCCAAGTGGCAGAACAGCACAAAAGTGGAAGGGGTGAATCCCATGGATGGAAGAAATGATGTATTTAGTAAGCCTTCCAAAATTATCCAGTGCTTTTTGATTCTGTTCAGTTCTTCAGAGAACTGTGTTTACTAAAATGTCCACAGAAAAAAGCTTATTAGCTGGTAAAAACTGCCAAAGCGGGGGGGGGGGGGGACCTTTTCAGCCCAATGGCCATGTTACGTTGCGATCCATTGAGCATCTTGGGGGGGAGGGCACAGGCCAGTGGTGGACAGGGACAAAGGCTTGTGTGGGCGGAGCAACAGATGTGACTCCTCCCTTTGTGGAATGGCTACATTCCACCCATATGAGAAGATCAGGTCTTCCCTCCCCAACACACCTCTCCATCCAGGCAAGCGAGAGGCATTATCACAGTTCAACCACATATTCCAACAAGGGAAAAACACTTGAGAGAGTAGAGCAAAGCCAGTGAGAGGTGCAGCCTGGGGAGAGTGGAGGTTGCCTGTGGCAGACAGGAGGCCTGACATTGCCCACCTCTCCGGAGCCATACCCCCCCCAAAATGCGGCTTTTTCCATCAAAAAAGAAAAACCCCCACCGAACCCCCAAACAATTGCAACCTATGGGCCCCATTTACCTTGTCGTCTATGGTATCAAATTTGGTGAGCACGATTCCATCAATGAGGCGTGGGGTCTGAGCCATGGAGTGATCAGCAAGGGCTTTGTTGAACTTGACCTGGTGTAGAGGAAGCAAACGGCAAAACGGGTTTGGCAATGCTCTTGCACAAGGCTGACTGATGAGCTGTACGCATGTCTACTAACACACAGGTATTGTGACTATTTTTACCAGTTTATGTTGCAGTCAACGTCTAATTGCCACTAAGTACGAATGCATGTCTTTGGCAATCCCCAGCACTTCCCCCATGCTATTATGCATGTGCCCATACAGGCAACTCGCAACACACACACACACACACTTAACTTGGGTGCATTCAGTTTTACACGCCTGGCAAATAAATAAATAAATCAGAAGGGGCGGGCGTTTGGGGGAGGAACTTTGCAATCCTGCAAGTCACTGAACCCAAAGTGCTTTGACAATAAGCAATTTTGGCTTTAGGTGCTACCCCATGGCCATGTCCCCAGCGTAATAGGAGAGTTGCCTGTACAGTCGTACCTTTGAAGTCGAACGGAATCCGTTCCGGAAGTCCGTTCGACTTCCAAAACCATGGCCTTGGAAGCCCCGTTGGACGTTCGGGTTCCAAAGAACATTCGCAAACTGGAGCTATAACGCCTGAGTTCAGGATCCAAGGTAAGACTTCTACATATTCATTGCATGCGAACAGACATGACTACTTCTAGGTATACCATTGTTGTGTAAAGAAGCACTAAAAGGGAGGTATGCATTTGTCACTTCGAGTTTTGAATCTTAACTAGTAATCTGAGGAACTAACCAGCTGATCCACAGCCTCATTTCCCACCAAGGCTTCCCCCACAAACAGGACAAGGTCAGGGGTGTTGACTGCAATGAGCTTAGCCAGAGCTGTCATCAAAGGAGCATTGTCTTGCATACGGCCTGCTGTGTCCACCAAGACCACATCGAAACCTTGGTTACGTGCTGAGAAGATAAAAAGGATATATTCATTAGAATGAATAAATAAATCTAGCAACAGCTGGGAGTTGCCTTCGGATTTACCAGCTGGCTTTTTTAATGAAATGAAGTGCAAAGCAGAGCCAGCAAACAGTCTAAGTGTGTATGGCAGGTCTCATAAATTTTCTAATGGAAACTGGAGTACAAAACAAGAGTATTCTTTACTGCTTATTCCCCTCTATGATCCTATGTCAGGAACTGCAAAATTCTGCAAATTAATCAGATCTGCCTAATGTTTACATTCCTCCCACCCTCAGATTAAAACTCTACTCTGTTGGCTATTGCCTTCCTCAAATCTCTCTTCTGAGATTTCAAACTCATTGCCCAAATGTTTTCAGGCTAGCCTTCATAGCCATAAATATTAGCATTTTTTTAAAAA